CCAACCAACACCCTCCCCTCCTCTCCCCTCCCCTCCAGGGGTTAAGGAAGCCATTAAGAATGTCCTTGAGAAACTGGTCAGAACTCACCAGACTGACGACCAGGAAGCTACTGAGGAGGTGGGAGGGGCAGATTGTCTCAGCCAGAGAGCTATGCAGAAGGAGCCCGTGCCCCTGCATAGTCCCTGGGACTTCCTGGGGTCTGGGCCAGAGAACAGGAGCCGCTGAACATGCAGGACAGTGAGGGTCCTGTACAGCTGAGCCTTGGGGTCTGGACTCTCAGCTGAACACAGAAGGGGTTTCCGGTGTATACGGGTAGGGGAGGGAAGGGGTGGAGCAGAAGGCACGTGGGTACAGGGCAATAGGGTCACCATGGCTGGGCCCACTATGCTCAGAACTTCCCCCAAGTGACAGCATTCTCCTCAGATCCAGAGAGATGGCCCATAATGGCATCTTGGAACTGTGAGGCTTCTTGTCCGAGATCACAGAGGCCAGCTGGAGTGGTGGCATGGACCCAATACCACCGCCTCAAAGACCCTAGAGGCTGAGGGCCAGAAGCAGGATTTAGGTCCCCATGGTTTGCCTGCCACCTAAGCTTGCACACTGTTGCTGTGGGCTCACTTCCACAGTCCACCTTGTTCAGGGGTGGGGAGGCCGGTGAGAGTGGTGAACTGGGAGGGCTGGGGACCACAAGGCAAGGAAATGAATGAACTTTTCATCTAGTCCCCAAACTCAGAAAACTGTCCCTCAATGCCCAGCTCTCTAGGAGCTGTGCTCTGGCTGGGCCCTCTGAGAAACTGTCATTGGGAAATGGCAAAGAAGTGTGTGTGTGTGTGTGTGTGTGTGTGTGTGTGTGTGTGTGTGTGCGCGCGCGCATTCATGCATGTATATATGTATGTGCATACATGTACACATTTATGTGTTGCTTGTGTGTCTGTGTGTGTATACCTGGGTATGTGTATGTGTACATATGAGTGTATATTCATGTGTGTGGGCATGTATTATACACATGCATGTGTGTGCATAGGTATCTATGTATGTGCATGCATCTGTGTGTGTGTCTGTGTGTGTGTGTGTGCGTTGGCAGCACCGCTCTGCTGTTCAGCGGCCTCCACACCCTTGTGGGTTGGAGTAATGACACCATTCTGGAGATGCTTGATGAAAGGTCAGAGAAATGTAATCACTCACCGATGGCCACACAGCAGAGGCTGAGTTTGGGCCCACTGTTCCATCTCCAAACTCCCAAGGACATGGAAACAATATAAAGAGTTTGTGCCTGGGGCTACTTTAGAAGATTTGGGGGCTGTCAATGCAGCTCAGTTGGTAGAGTGCCCGCCTACCATGCATGAGGCCCTGAGTTCGATTCCTAGAACCACATAAACCCAGTGTGGTGGCACATGCCTGCAATCCCGGTTCTTGGGAGGTTAGATCAGAGATTCACGGTCATCATCCTCTACATGGCAAACAGGAGTGCAACCTGGGCTACATGAGATGCTGTATCAAGGAGTAGGAGGAGATGAAGAGGAGAAAGAGGAGGAGGAAAGAAAATCTAGGCAAGGGGTCATTTGCGCCTCTCTCTTTGTTTTCTGTGATGTAGAGGGGGCAGGAGCCCACTGTTCTGCACTGCCGGGAGCACCCTCCCCTTACCCAACAGTCAACAGATGCTTAGCTCTTTGTTGACAACCCAAACACGTCCCCCCCCCCTTGGTCTTGGCAGCTCCCAGGCACTAGTGCCACCCCCTGTGAGCACCCGGGAACTGAGGCAGGGATGTCGGGGTCCCTTGCTCAGGGTAAGCCCCTCCCAAATGCACTGACCCCAACTGCCAGGGCCCCCAGCCCCCAGGTCTTCCTCCCACATCCTCAGCGCCTGAGGAGCAGAGGCAGCTGTCCTGTTAGAACAGGTCTGGAGCCAGAGCAGACCTGCCACCCAACTCCTCCCTTGACTGCAGCCTTACTCATTCTGGCCCGTGAACCCTGCAGCACTGGCCTAAACGTCACGCAGGAGGCGTTCTGTAAATGGATTCTTACTCTGGCCTTCAGGCTGGCTGTGCAGAGAGCTGAGGGGAAAGAATCCTGGTCCTCAGAATCCCACATCAGAATCACTTTATTGATTGGTTGGTTATGTTATTAAATCATTAGGTTTATTTTGGGCCAGAGAGACGGCTCAGCAGTTACCAGCACTAGTTCTTGCAGAGGATCTGGGTTTGATTCCCAGCCCCCACGCGGTTAATTACCAATCATCCCTAACTCCAGTTCCAGGGGATCCAACAGCCTCTTCTCGCCTCTATGGGCACTGAGCATCTACGTGGTACACATGTACACATGAAGACAAAACACACATAAAATTAAAAGATGAACAAATGGAGTAAAGATGTAGAAGTTTTGTTCCATGTTTAAGGATGTGTCTAAGCGTGGGTGGGTGCTAAGTGGAATGCCCACAGAGGTCAGAGGCAGGTGTAGCCTCGCCTGGAGCTGGAGATACTGTGGGTGCTGAGCCATCTCCCCAGCTCCTCCAGATCAGTGTTTGAGCCACGCCTGTGTTTGTGACATTCCCAGGAGGGAAGATGCTCCAACTTCAAGAGACAGGATCATCATCTTTTGGAGTTCTTGGCTTTTTGTTAGTTTGTTTTGGGTTTTTTGTTTGTTTGTTTTTTGAGACAGGGTTTCTCTGCATAGCCCTGGTCAACCTGGAACTCATTCTGTAGACGGGCTGGTCTTGAACTTACAGAGATCCACCTGTCTCTGCCTCCTGAGCGCTGGGATTAAAGGCGTGTGCCACCATCACCCAGTTTGACTTTTTTTTTTTAAATGTAGTTTATTATTCTATGTGTATGAGTGTTTGCCCATCTGTATGCCTGGTGCTCCTTGTAGAAACCAGAAGAGGGGATTGGATATCCTGGACCTGGATGGAGATAGAGAGGGTTGAAAGCCACCATGTGGCTGGGAATTGAACCCTGGTTCTCTGGAAGAGCAGTCAGTACTCTTAACTACTGTGTATGCAGACCCATCTTGCGTCCCCCCTTTCATCCCATCCCCAAGCCATCACTTCCTCCCTCCTAACTCACCCCCTCCGATCCAAATGTCCCTCGTTCCCCCCAGGTCCCATGCAGACAGCCTCAGCTGCTGTGTGCTCATGTTTGCAAGGTCATGTCATATGCAGGTGACAGTGCCCCACCACGTGCCTCCCTCCCCATCCTTCCATTCCCACTGTCCTTCTGTCCTTCTCCTGTGATGTCCCCCGGGGCCTTTTGGGGCCATTTTTTTTTTTTTTTCAAACAGGGTCTCAGAAGTAATAACCTGCAACTTCCTATGAAGTCGAGACTGGCCTTGAACTCCTGATTCCTCTGGGATGACAGGCATGTGCCACTACACCCAACTAGGGACTGGATCCCTGTCTGTGATCTGACAGAGGCATGCCTGGAGTCAGAGAATGACCTCCATGACCTTTTGAGGTCCTGTCTGGCCACTGAAGCCAGAGGATTCAGTATTTATAAGGATGACTCCTCAGGGATGTGGGGGAAAGGAGGGGGGATGGTGGGCGGGTATGGGGGAGTGAAGGGGGCTGACACCCAGCAGCAGTGACTCAGGCCCTCGGCACTGTGACAGTGACAGCGTGTCTGCTTTTAGCTGTTGCCTCTTGTTCCCCTGGCAGGCTGCTCTGGGGGGGCTCCCCACCTGACCCCATCTTTTTCCATGTCACTTAAATACCAGTGACTCTCTGAAGGCCTCTCAGGTGCCCTTCACCCAGGATAGGCAACACAGAGGACCCCGGGTTCGGTTCCAAGGCCCCACAGGGATAACTCACAATCATTCATAACTCCAGTTCCAGGGGTTGTCTGGGAGTGACAGGTCCCTTCAGCCCCAGCCATCACCCTGACCCCCAGCTCTGTCCTGACTTCCCATAACACCAGGGGTGCAGCTCTGGTCTTGGCCCCCTGAGCCCAGAAACAAAGGGCACCTTCTTACAGGGACGCCTGAGGAAGAGAAGTGATCCTGCCCCAGGAGTGGGGATGAGGGGTACCAAGAGAGGTGTCAGAGCAGGTCACACTCTGGTACTGGGGACTCGGGGCAGAAGGAGCCTGTGTAGGCTGGAACAACCAGAAACTTCATGGGGGAGAGGAATGGGGTGATTGTACGGGGGGAGGGGAGTGAAAGATTTGTGTTCCAAAGTCTGATGGATGGACTGATGGCCACCTGCCTCCTGAAAGTGCCTCCCCTGGCTTCTGCTCCTGCCCAGAGCCACACAGTCTGGGGTTCTACTCAGTAGTCAGTGAAAGCAAAGGGGCTTCTTGGACACAAGGGTCAAGCACTTCTGGGATGGAAATCTCAGCCATTGTACCGTGCTCAGGCGCAATCTTTCCTTTCCGGGGAGCTCCATTTCCTAGTCTAGAAACTGAGCTAAAATCTCCTCTTTTTGAGCCATGGAAGAGCAAAAAGGGCTCTGCTGGTAAGGGGCAGCAGTACCCAGGGACACCCTGGATGTGAAATCCTGTGGCTACCATCCTGGGCAGGCAACTCCCCTGAGCCTGTGGTGGAGCAGACTGTTGCCAGCAACTTAGCTTCCTAGACCTTAAAGAATAGTTATCTGCCTCTTCCCTGAAGTGGAGACCAAACCCCTCACCCCCACCCACCAGCTTTCTTCTATTCTGCCACTACCTGTTCTGAGAGCTGGGATGGGAGGGGACATAGACTTGGGGTCCCCACCTATGTGTTCTAACCCCCCTCCCTGGGCTGTCCCAACCTTTCTGACGGGCTCGTGCACAAGCCCTCCCTCCCCTCAGGAGTCTGACAAGGGAGGCACAGGCCCTGAGAACCAGTCTGAGAGGAGAGTCAGGTCCCTGGCTAGGGAGGGAACAGCAAACAAACCACCACAGAGTCCTGGGGCAGGCACAGGGCAGGACCCACCCCCTACCCTGGCCCTTGGGGCCAGAGCTCTGGGCTTGGAGTACCAGGAGATGAGCTCAGCCCTCCAACCCGGCCCTTGTGTGTCAGGCTGTCAGCAGGGCCGTTTCTCCCTAGAAGATTTCCAGGCCCCTTGGGCCATGAAGAGGCCTAAATTTAGCCAGCAGACAAGGGGCTGGCCCTGAGCCCAGGGACAGTCGGGCCTTATAAAGGGCTGGCAGTCCGGGCCCCCAGCACACTTCCCTAGAGGCCTGAATCCACGCTTCTCCAGCCCAGCCCCTGCCTGGACAGGGTCCCTGCTGCCTGTGGATGAGCCACCGGACCTCCTCCGCCTTCAGAGCGGAGAGAAGCTTCCATTCTTCCTCCTCCTCCTCCTCCTCCTCCTCTTCGGCCTCCCGTGCCCTCCCAGCTCAGGACCCACCCATGGACAAAGCTTTGAGCATGTTTTCAGAGGATTTTGGCAGTTTCATGCGGCCCCACTCGGAGCCCCTGGCCTTCCCAGGCAAGTGCTCTGAGGGGAGGGACACAGGTAGGAGCCTCTGCTCCAGGGCAGGGCTGAGCAGGCCACCCACCTGCCAGGAATAGGTGCTGCGTGGTTTCCAGGCACATGTGGCTGCCAAGACAGACCTGGCCACCAAGACAGAAATGGTTATGATACAGGTGGGCCCCCTGGGGACAATGGTGACCTTAGGGGTGAGATGTGAATCCAGTAGTCCTACATAGTCCATGTCCGGATGGGAGCCCTAGAGGGCTGGCTCAGACTGAGGGCTGGACTGGCTGGACCCTCCAAGCTTCCAGACCTTGGATAAAGGAGGGATGTGCATGTATAGATTATAGATTAAATAGAGTCTGGCTCGCCCCCGCCCCCGCCCTCCTCAAGGCAAGCTGCAAGAGTGAGGAGAGGGGCTGTTGTCTAGCAGAGCCACTCGTTTCCCCAAGAGAAGAGCAGAGAGCCAGGTTTTCGGGTTCAGGGCTTGCTGGGTGCCCAGCTTACAGCAGTTCTGTCCACAGCCCGACCTGGAGGACAAGGTAACATCAAGACCCTCGGGGATGCCTACGAGTTTACAGTGGACATGAGAGACTTTTCCCCTGAAGATATTATTGTTACCACCTCCAACAACCACATCGAGGTGCGGGCTGAGAAGGTGAGTCTTGACCCTGCCCCACCCCAGGGTCCCCATCTTCCCCTGAACTCTGCCTGGTCTAGCTGGCCCTGTGTCCCCTGCTTTCACCTGCCTTCTTGGGACTTCCTCATAGCTATGACCAGTGTTCCTTCCCTGTCTGCACTCCCCCAGGGCCAACTGCAGCTCATTCGCGGTGGGCTCACAAGCCAGGGACCTTCATGGCCCCCTCCAAGCTAAGGCTCACAGACCCTGTCTTTGGGAGCCCATGTCACGGTACCTGCGGGTCCTCCAGGGATGAGAGAGGGATCTTGGGATGTGGGCAGAGGGAAACCTGAGTGGTTGAGACATGGGTGGGTGAGGAGAGAAAGACAGTGACCATGGCGGAGTAAGGACAGCTCCTTGGCAGAAGATAGAGGAAGGTGGCAGTGGCTGATCCAACTTGGGCTGCACGGTCCACTCATGCCACACCTGCACCCTTCTTTCATCCCAGAGCCAGAAACGTGGGTCCAGTTTTGGAACCTCCACACTGGGCCCGAGGCTGAGCAGAAGCCACGGAGCTCAGAGTCACGCCCACCCTGAACCCCATGTACCTCAGGGTAGCTAGATCATCAGAGTAGGCATGGCCAGCCCAGACAGTGACTGCTGCAGTCCTTAGGACCATGCTGATGCTTCAATGACATTTGCCAAGGCCTCCCTGACCACCCCCCAAGCCTGGCTAGCTCCCCTAATTCGAGCCGGACACTAGGAAGCCCCACCAGGTGTTCGAGGAGTGTGGGTCACTGGCTGCACGTGCCAGCCCCACATCCCAAGGATGACTCAGCCAACCGACTCTGCTGGACACTATGTGCTAGCTGGGCTGCGGGGGAGGGCGGTAGCCCTGGTGGTGGACACTCAGGGTGCCTGGGATCCAGAGGGCATAGCTGTGTCATCACCCCACCATAGCTCGAGTCTCAGGCTTCCAGCTACTCCTGTGCAAGCTAGACCTTTGTGGAGCCCCACCTAACCCGTCCTACACCAAGCTCCCCTCGGGACCTCTGGAGTCCCTCTGCGGAGCCCTTGGCTCCTGGCCACCCCACACCTCTGGCCAGCTCTTACACATCTGATAGCTGTGGGGTAACTGGGGACAGAGAGCAGAGACTCTGGCTTGATTTGGGCATAACCAGGACCCAGGATGGGGTAAGGGCTGAGACAGCCACTCCTGACCTGTCATCCCTTACCCAGCTGGCGGCTGATGGCACGGTCATGAACACCTTTGCTCACAAGTGCCAACTACCAGACGATGTGGACCCTACATCGGTGACCTCAGCCCTTCGAGAGGATGGCAGCCTCACCATCCGGGCACGGCGCCACCCACACACAGAACATGTCCAGCAGACCTTCCGGACAGAGATAAAAATCTGAGGGTCTCCCTATCCCTGCCCTCCCCCCCATCTCCTCAACTGACCTGCTGGTGAGGTCATCCTGACCCCTGACAACGGCCCCCGAAACATCTCAGCCCAGGCCCAGTCACTCCACACACTCTTAGGCCCCAGGTGGGCCACCCCCCAAAACTAGGGCCCTCCTGTCAACCCAGGGCAGTTTGAAGACCCTCTTGTCCTCACCCATGACCCTCTTGTCCTCACCCACATAGGACCTCCCTGTCTTAGTTCACAATATAGGGGCAGAAGTGTGGACTTGGAGAGAAAGATGGGGACTAAGCAAATGATCAGTGGACAGGGAGACATCAGTGGCATCTCTGCAGGGCAGGGGACCAGGGACCCTCCTGGCAAATGGAATATAGGAGTTGGTCACAGGTGGTGCTGCTGGTCTAGGTGGACTGCCTTGGACAAGCCAGAGAGATAGCCATGACTGTCACCTCCCCAGGGCTATCTATCACCCTGGGCCCCAGTCAGCTACTTTATGAAAATGGCATGAGGCTCGTGTCTCCAGTTGCTGGTGCCCTAGTCCACACTGGGTCCCTAGGCTCCTGAGTGGCTCCCCCTGCAGAGAGGGTCCCCTGAAGGGAACTGGGATCAAGAGCAGTCCCAGGACTGCCAGTGCACCAATCTACCCACACACACACCGCCATCGTCCTACCCCTTGAACACTCATTCCCATTGGGTGAAGCCCAATTTAAAAGTTCTAGAATCAGATTTAGCATCTCTATTTCCATCAATGGGGTCGCTGCGTCTCTGGGCCAGTTGGATGCTCGGTTTTGTCTCTGAAGGTTGGTCTGAACACAGCACTGCCTCAGCTGCTCTCAGCCTCTTACCCCTGTGCCCTGGGAGACTTCCCCTGACTCCAGCTCTCTAGAGCCACATGCCCTGCCTCCCATCTCACTGCACAGGGTGGCCACAGGAAGAGCCCCAACCCAGATCCCTTCTGCCCTCCAAGTCCAAGGCAAAGACCCTTGTTAGTCTTCACCCTGGGGGACCAGGGCTCTGACCCCAGCTCTGACTCAGTCTCCCATGGTCAAAGTAGGTGTGAGAGGGGGAAGTTCTCGGTTAGTGGGGGTCCCTGGGACCTGACTCCTGCTGTCTCGGGACTCTGGGGACAGGGAGGGTGGGGGTTTATGAGGGTCTGGTCTCTACACCCTATACACAATAAAAGGACAGTATGACAGACTTGAGGAGACCCCGCACCTGGAGTTCTGCCTGGGACGAGGGACTGAGTGGGTGGGGAGGACATTTGGATTGGGAAAAGAAGCCTAAGGCTTGAAATGTGTGGAGCCTTGGACCTCCCATTTCCCCAGACCTGCCTGAAGAAAGCCAGCGTTCTTCTGCACAACTGCTTATGGTACCCTGATCCCGGCTGCCTGCCCTCCCCTCCTTATTGTATTCATTCTTTAGTTCAAGAGGAATGTCTGAGCTGAACTTGGTACTTTGCTGGTCCAGAGAAGCTAAGTGATTGGCCTAAGGTCACACAGCTCCGAAGACAGCCAATTAGGATAGGGCCATCCGAAGGGTGAAGTCCTGGATCACCTACACATGGAGTATTGGGGGTGGGGGTCTCCTCACTCCTCACACCCCCCCAGGAGCTACTGAAATCAGAGTCGCCGGCTGGTCCCCAGAGCAGCTCCGCTGGCGACTGCGGTCAGTCGGAACAGGGAGGGGAGTGGGGGTGCAGTATTTCCAGCCTCGTGAGTCACGGATTCCGCTGGGCTATTTGCAGCCCCAACACTCATCAGCGCGGCTGGGGCATGGGGCGGTGCTGACAACCCTCCCCATTCGCCCCCCATCCGAGGTCAGGTTCACCTTGGCGAGAAGACCACTGCAGCCAGCGGGAGAGCCAGCCCTGGAAGGGGGACTGTCCCCAGCGCTGGGTGGGGTGGGTGTGGGTGTGTGTTTCCCATCACAGGTCTCAGCCCCTGCACAGGCAGCTTCCTGCCGCTGGAAACCAGGTTCTTCTGGTCTAAGGGAGCCCTGGGCTGTCACTCCAGCCAAGGTGACCCTGCTGACCGGGAGGGTGGGAATGTGGGGGCTGCCATACAGGAGTCTTTCCTCAGCTCCGCCTGCTGGGGCAGCAGGCTGGTCCACCCTTTCTAGACTAAATATAGACCTGGCTGCAGGCCCTCCACCCCTCCCCCATTGGTGGAGCTTAATTCTGGGAACCCCATTCACTGAGTGCCCAGTATGTGCCAGGCACCCCGACAGTCCTGTGGCTATGCTATGATACTGTTATGGTCTCACACAGTTGGATGTGGAGGTTCAGAGGGGTCAACCAGGAGCTCCAAAGTGGTCCAGCTTGGAAGTGCCATTGCTGGGATCTGAATCTTAACCAGGGGCTCAGGAAACTCAGCTAGGTCAGCCCCGATTATCATGCTCCCTGTCCTCCACACATCGAAGCTCCTACTTCTGGAGAGTGGTTGAAGAGAGGGTCCTAGGCCTTGTAACTTTGGGGAAAGACCTGTTGTATACCAGCCAGGAGAAGTTGAAAAGATGGAACCCTCAGAGGTTAGAGGCCTTCAGAGAAGATGCTGTCCCAGGGATGGGGATGAGAGTATCTCAAGGCTTCCAAAGGCCAAAGGCTCCTTCTTCCACAGCCACACAGACCCAAGAGTTTAATCTCAAAACCATAGACCTGGCTGGTTGTGGCTTGATAGAGTGCCTGCCGAGAAAATTCTGGAGTCTGGGGTTGCATGTCTGAAATCCCACCACACTGGGATCCATTATAGGTGGATCAGAAGTTCAAGGTTAACCTTGGTTACATGGTTTTAGGCTGGCCTTGAGCTACATTAGAGCCTATCTACAACAAACAAACAAAAAGTAGGCCAGCATGCTGGCACTCACTTTTAATCCCAGCACTCAGGAGACAGAGGCAGGTGGATCTCTGAGTTGAGGCCAGCCTGGTCTACACAGTTCCAGGACAAAGCTCCAAAGCCTGTCTTGAAAAACAAAAAAACAAAACAAACACACAAAAAAGTAGATTCCCAAGCCTGAGGTGTGTTCATCTCCTTTAAGGTTGTCTGCAGGGGTGTTTCAACCATGGAAATAGCACACACCTGGTGCTGGGAAGCTGGCCCATCCATTTGCTTGGCCAGGCTACAGCTCAGGGATTCAGTCCAGACTCTTCATATGATGGTGAGGTCCAGGCTCAGAGAGGGCCGGCCCTCACCCAGAGTCACACATTAACAGTGTTCAAAAGTTCAGTAGCAAATGTGAAATCTCAGAACTCCCACCATAGTCCAGCTCTCCTCTCCAGACCCCTCGTGTGCTCTCCCCTTGCTCCCCAGTCCCAGCACAGGGAAGGCCAAAGGAGTCTCACTAAAGAGGGGAGGGTCCCTTGAGGGCTGTGGGAGTCAGACCACCCAGGGCCAAATCTTGGCTCCATCATCTTGGAGAGACCTGCACACACATTAAATCCCTGTGCCTCCTGTAACCTCACTGTCCCTAGCCCAGCAGGACTTGCATTGGGCTGGTCCTTCCCTGAGGGGGGGGGAGCAACTGAGGGTGGAGCTTAACCCCAGCACTGCACCCCCCACCCCTGCAGGCCTTCTGAGAAGATGCATTCCAAGCCCTAGGCTGGGGACAGGGGCCTCTAGAAGCCTTAGTTCTCTCTTGAGCAGAAAGCAGGTGCTTACCTGGGGCCTCAGTGAGCTTGAAACCATCTAGAGTGTGCAAGAACGGTCTGTTTGCCCCAACAGAGAACCAAAAGGCAGGAAAAGTTTGAAAGTCAAGCAAAGCCAGAGTTTATGCACAGAGGGCAATTTTATTAGAGTTTAAAAGAAAAACCCTAGGGCTTGCAGCTGTCAATCTCAGCAGGAGGAGGATGGAGGGGCAGCAAAAGACAACAAAACACCAAGCTGAGTTAAACCATCATGGAGGCCAGCCACCTGAGCATGGGGAGGAGGAGGAGCTGTCCAAAGCGGAGGTCCTCAGCCTTCCTGTAAGCTTCAGCCCTTTAATACTGCTCCTCCTGCTGTGGTGACCCCCAACCATAGCATGATTTCCTCATAACTGGAATTTTGCTACTATTATGAATTGTATTCTGCTACTGTTCCGAATTGTCATGTAAATATCTGTGTTTTCTGATGGCCTTAGGTGACCCCTGTGAAAGTATTATTTGACTCCCCCAAGGGGGTCTAGACCCACAGGTTGAGAACCACTGCTTTAGCAATGGACTAAGGAAGCCCTATGTACCCAGAGAAAATACACTTAAGTTCTGGGCAGCATCTGAAAGAAAGGGGGAAAAAACAAAACACACACACACACACACAAAAAAAAAAAAAAAACCACAAGAAGCTAAAGCTAGACTGTAGGCAGATGCTTCCTGTCCCAAATAACTGACACAGAGGCTTAGCATTACTTATAAATGTTCAGCCAATAGCTCAGGCTTGTTACTAACTAGCTCTTACATTTTAACTTAACCCACATCCCTTATTTATACTCTGCCACGTGGTGGTACCTTTATTAGCATGGCACATTCATCTGCTTCCTCTGTGTCTGCCTGGCAACTCCTCTGGCTCTGCCCTTCCCTTCATTTTCAGTTTGACTTTCCTGCCTAACTTTTTCCTGTTTCGCTACTGGCCATTCACCTTGTTTATTAAACCAACCACAGAAATTTATATTCACACAATGTAAAGGAATATTCAATCCACAGCATTGGACCTTTTTGAGTCAGGTCTCAGACAAACCTCACGGTGAGTCACAGGAGCTGCACTGGGGTCAGGAATGAGAAAGACAAGGACATCATCTCCTTGAAGGGATAATTATCCCACCCATCTCCTTAGTATAGCTTAACATGAGACCAACTTCCTAGGTACACTGGCTTGTTTTGTCCACTTGACAGATGAAGCTACAATCATTTGGGAAAAGAGAACTTCATTAACCTGTACAAAAGTCTGTGGTGCATTTTCTAAGGTGACTTTTGATAGGGGAGGACCCAGCTAACTGTGGGCAGGGCCACCCTCGGGCTGGTGGTCCTGGGCACAATAAGCAATCAGGTTGAGCAAGCCTTGGAGACCAAGGCAGTA